TAATAATAATAATAATCATAATCATAATAATGATGATAGTGATGATGATGATGGTAATAATAATAGTAGTAGTACATTTTAATTATTTATTAAATAATTATTAAATTAATATTAAATTTAAGAAATTATTTTCTTGTTGATGTCAATAATAATAAAACAGTTATTATTATTATTATTATTATTATTATTATTATTAATAATAATAATAATAATAATAATAATAATAATAATAATAATAATAGTAGTAGTAGTAGTAGTAGTAAATATTTAATATTTATTAATTATTATTAAATTAAATAAATTATTTTCCTGTTGATGTGTCAATAATAATAAAAAGTTAATAATAATAATAATAATAATAGTAGTAGTAAATTTTAATTATTATAAAATAGTGGAAATAAATAAAATAACATATATCAAAATAATAAAAATATTAGTTAGAAAAATAGTTGTTGTTGTTGTTGTTGTTAATAATAATAATAATAATAATAATAATAATAATAATAATAATGATAATAATAATAATAATAATAGTAGTAGTAAATTATAATTATTTATTAATTAGGATATTATTATTAAATTTAAGATAATATTTTCTTGTTGATGTGTCAATAATAATCAAGTTTAATGTATCTGTTTAATGAAAAACCAACAACAACCTAAAAGCAGAACAAACAAACAAAGCTCACCAAGTTTGTAAGCTGCTCTGACAGCAGAATCAGAATCACAAGCTTTTATTGTCATTATATATCAACTATACAACAAAATTTGAAAGTTTTACTCCTTTAAATTTGCGTAAAGAATTTTAGAAAAAGTTGCAAAAGTCAAAAAGTCACCCAAAATAATAAAAATAAAAACTAATAAAGCAGCTCTTCTACTTCAAGATCTGAGTCTTTCCATGTATAAACAGCACATTTCCCAGCAGCTTTAGAGCATCTGGAGTTATCTGTGCAGCTCCCTCATGCTGATAACATTCACTTTCCATATGATCTGAAGCTGCTCTTCTCTTGTACTTTGCTGTAAATGCAGAACTTTAGGGATTGAGCTTTAAAGATCCGCCATGTATTAGTCTCCGTTTCTCTCTCTCTCTCTTCATGTTTTCAGGAGTTTATAGCTGTAAAGAGAAGTGTGTAAGTGATGCATTGTGGGATTGATCCTCTGAGTGTCATCTTATGTGCTGGAGATTATCCCGTGTCCGCATCTGATTCCTGCACATTAAACTCTACCATTAGATGGAGAGATGAGAGTGAACGAGTGAATGAGAGAGGGATTATATACTGTATGAGTTCAGCTGATGCACTGACGGCAGCCACTTCAAGGAGAGAGAGAATGTGTGTTTACTAGAGATGCAACAATACAGTTAGCCCACAGTTTATACATACCTCGCTTTTTAACACAGTTTTCGGTTCAGTTAGGTTCTCTTGGCTTGACACGTCTGTTTTTTATTTTTTATTTATTCTATAGGCATTTGGAACAGTAAGAGGTTCAGGAGAAAAAATTAAAAGGATTTATTGCAATGCTCATTTTGTTTTACTTAGAAGCCAAGAGAAGTACACTAGTTCCTAGTGTATTGTATAAAAACAATGAAATCTCACAGTTGCTGGTAGCCCATGTACAAACTGGGGAACACATAAAATCCTACACTTTGAAAATAAACATACACATGAAGTTAATAAAGATAAATTGGCCATTTCAAATAAACATATTTGTACTTCAGTAAACACAAATAAACCATCTTAATTATCTCGGTGCTGAAAAAATGCGAGATTGTTGTCTGTAACGCGGATCGAGTGCTTTTATAAAATGACAAAAGCCCACATCTCCCATCACCGAAAATGGCTGCAAATCTTTAGCAATAAACAGCCGCACTGCCTTTGTTATTTTTATGTGTCTCTTGAACCAGTTGGGTATGTTAGCTGGAAAGATTCAGCGAGGGATTGTTGCTATTTGAAGGACTTTATTACTTTCTTTGCTCTCCTGCCTTCAGACAGTGATATTGCTGGGTGATGGCGCTGCAGATGTGCAGTCATGGTTATACGTGTAAAACAATTAGGTTGTAGTCTTTAAAAACAGCAATACTTTCTTGTCATATTAGGGTCCTGTTTACACCTGTGCGTTTTTGTTTTAAAACGGAGTTTTAGATCAAAAACGATCCGTGTTCACACCAGCGTTTCTGAACATATCTCCGTCCACACTACGCCACCAAAACGTATATCACGTGACCATTCGCGCACTCTGGGCATGCACGTTCTAGTATAAACAGGAAGCTTGTGTCTCGCTCGGCATTTGGTTATTGTTAGTCAACAAACGCTGGTTGAACAATGAACGCGATGGCAAAGAAAGCAAGAGAGGTGTTTTTGTGGAGAGACGACGAGGTCGAGTTGTTACTAAACGTAACAAATGAATAACTGCACAATGGCGCCTAAAACAGACAATAGTGCAAACAACTCTCCCATTTCTGTGTCCATGTTGTTGTTTACAGTGAAGGCTGGTCTGCTGTCTTACAGTAGCGTTAAAGCCATGTGTTATAGTCATGTGATAGGGGCTTGACAAATAAGGGGAGGATATGCAATGACACAAAAGCCCCAATCAGGTAGCGAATCTCTGTTTTTAGACGTCTCTGTTTTCCCCCATCCACACTGAGACAGAGCAGCAGCGTTTCAGAATGAAAACGGCCTCTCCAGCGTTTCCAAAACGCTCCGTTTTTGGCGCTCGAAAACTCAGACGTAGTGTGGACGGATGGCGTAACCGTAGCAATACTTATGCGTTTTCAAACTAAAACGCACTAGTGTAAACGGGGCCTAGATCTACCGCTTTGTCCGATATTGGTGAAGAAGCTTTCTTCCTTAAACACACAACATTCAGAGTCCATTTTCCTTTTTTTAGCCTGACTCATTGTCAGTCATTAACTGTCGAGTGTATTTTAATATCCGAGAGTGTGTTCTAGTGCTACTGGTTGTGCTAACTGTACCGCGTGCAATACTGCCATCACATGGCGTTGACATGTAATTGCATCATTAATTGTCTAATTCTGAAACCAAACGGTTACTCACAAGCAGCGTTTTAAAAAACTGCCTCACGGGCCAGATGAAAGTGTTCAGCGGGCCGCATATGGCCCACGGGCCGTAGTTTGCCCACCTCTAATCTAAACTCATTGCGACTTGTTTCACCGTGTGGATCAAAATTGATACCCCATGGGTAAACATCCCTATCAGTAAACATTAAACAGAATGAAGTATATTGAAAATGTAAAAGAGCAGATTTTTTTGGGTTAGGGAGAGAGAAAACCGTTTGTTTAGTAGAAACATCATTACGTCTATGTGAGTCCCCACTGTGATATAGAAATAAGTCTGTGTGCTATTAAGGATTCTGCGTGTTTGTTCGCTGTGTGTCTGGCCTTTGCATTCAGACTCCACGCAATGCGGCAATTAGCAAATTAATGGCGAAGCACAACCTGCTAATTATGCTCTTATCAATATGACCATGTTCTGCATACACAGAGAGTTCCCTCAAATCACTCATTATCTCAACAAGACTCCAGAAGCTCTTTGAATGAGCTGCTTTGAGTCTTGAGCTCCTCACTCATTTGCTGCTTGTTTAGTGCACTTTGTAGTTCAGAATTGCGGAGGAGATGTTTATGATCAATGCTCAATCCTCGTTCACACTATGAGGGACTCACAGCAGCGACAAGCGATCGTTCATTTTAATGCACAGTGATAGACTTCTGTTGACCTCCATCTACACGAGTGACAGTGAATGTGGGTGACAACGTGGGCGTGTCAAGCAACGCAACAAAGTTGACA